TGTGCGTCTGTGTCTGTGTGTGTGTGTGAGTCTGTGTGTGTCTGTGTGTGAGTCTGTGTGTGTGTGTGTGTCTGTGTGTGTGTGTCTCTGTGTGTGTTTCTGTTCCCTGACTGTGTGAGTGTGTGTGTGTGCGTCTGTGTCTGTGTGTGTGTGTGAGTCTGTGTGTGTCTGTGTTTATCTGTGTGTGTGTGTGTGTGTGTGTATATTTATATAAAGTATATTTCTTTGTGTTCTTTGGACCGATCTGAAGTCAAACAAAGTTCTTTTTTTACATCTTGAACTTCCTCCAGTTTCCTAATTGAGTAAACCCTTTAAAAACCTCCATTCTCTCTTCCCTCTGACTGGAAGTGTTGATGGTTAAATGTCACCAGGGGCCGGGCTCCTCGTGCACGCTCCTCGTGCACGCTCCTCATTAGTTAATAAGCAGAGAAATGGAGCCTGATCTCTACAGAAAAGGCTCATCTGTGTGTTCTCAGGCTTTCTTAACACGGTCAGAGTTCAGGAAACGAGAGCTTCCTCTCTGTGTTTGGATTCCTGTTGGCTTTTCCTTCAAAAAGAGTTAATCTAGAGAAATATAAGTAATAAAAGTAGTGATAAAAGTAGTGATAAAAGCCTGGAATCTGTCCTCCAGTGGACAGAAAGTGGACCAAACTGGGATGTTTGGAAACCAGGTCTGGATGTTGGTTATTCTCCTGTATTGAGTTGCATCAAACGAAGGCGAATCGTCAAATTATTTAAAGCGTTTTCTGTTAGAAGAAAGGAGCACGTTTCTCTGCTGACTGTGGAGCTGGGAGACTGAGATTTGAGCTGTCAGACCTCCGTCAGTGGAGCTCTACTCTCAGCTTTTAGCTGCTAGCCGCTAACCGTTAGCTGTTAGCTTTTAGCCGTGAGCTGTTAGCTGTTAGCCGTTAGCTGTTAGCTGAACCATGGCGTCCTAGATCTTAACAGTGAGATCCCGCTGGTTTTGAGGCAGCTTTTCCCCGTTTCCTTAACTCTGGTTAA